GAGCAGCAGACCCTGAGCACCTGGCTGTGCAGCTCACCTGGCGCTTCCTGCTGGGGATGAGCACAGAGACCCAGGGAAGTCCAAGAAAGTAACAAGTGTCTTTTCGGGACTCTGGAGTGTGGTTTGTTCTCTACTGAAGTCTGCCCCATTGACTTCCCTTCCCGGCTTCCAGCACACCCACTCCCCTGTTCTGAGAAACAACCTGAGTAGTCCCTGCCCCCCTCCCCCTCCGCCCTGCATTTCCCTTTGGCCCCTTTGGTACCTCTGCCCATTGATGTGTCACGTCTGGGCCACAACACTGAGGGGTGAGCTCTGGGTTTGCCCGAGTACCCACGAGCATTAAGCTGCCCTCTCTGGCCCTCAGTTTCCTCATCTTGAGGAGGTCGTCACAAACTCTCTCCACAGAGGGATTTGGGTCAGTGGTGCAGGTGCATGGGAAGGGCTGTGTCTGGTTAATCTGCAAACCTCCTTAGGATGTGGGCTGGGGAGGCTGTGACCTGAGAAAATCTTGCCTTTGGGCCCCAGGGTCAAGGTGGATGATTGCTGAAAATCCTCACCTGCTCCTAACACTCAGAAATGCTCCACCTGATATTTCTGAAATGTGCACCATTGCACTTAGGGTGGGAAGAGAGAAATGAAAGTTCCCGAGTGGGAAAGAACCCTCAGCAAGGAGTGATGTGGTCAGCCATGCTGGGGCCAGCCGAGGTCACGGGGGCAGAATCTCCCTCTGTGAGCAGCAGGAGGGGACCCAGTGTAGAAAGGGTAGATGCAAAATTAGGGACTCAAGGTATCAACCAAAGGAGCAGTGGTGTCACATGTAGCAGATCAATCCAACTTGGTGCAAAAGGGATCAGGGAGTTACAAACAGAGGCAAAGAAGAGAAACCTTAACCCATAACTGCATGAATTCTTAATACGGCTGCGATTATTCCCAAGGAATCACTTCTTTTTTCCCTATTATTATTGATTTTTATGTATGACAGCTGAATGCATTACCACTCATATTACACATAGACAGCATAATTTGTCATCTCTCTGGTTGTATATCAAGTATACTCACACCAATTCATGCCTTCATACATGCACTTTGGATAAGGGAATCACTTCTAGGCAAACACGTGAAAGAGTAGCTCACCCTCAGCAGAGCCTCCATAGTTCCCCACAGCTCCCAGCGCCGGGCCACGCACAGAAGCCCCTGCTCTGGCCTGGGGCTTGTCCCCAGCCCCACACTCAGAAAGACAGTCATCGAGGATACAAGTAACAATAAGTGCAGAACAGTGAACTTCATACACTGTTGCTGGGACTTAATGCCCCTGTGGAAAGTCCTCAAAAGACTGAGAACAGCTCCGCCGTCTGACCGGCTGTCCCAGTGCGTGGCGTCTGTCCCCAGGAGGTCACGACAGCTCAGTGCAGAGGTCAGGGCATTCCCGGGTTGATAAAGCAAACTCACAGTGGCCTCCTTCAGTACCAGCTGGGTTCTGTCCTCGGATGGGGGGGTAAAGGACATGTGGTCTCACACACCATGGAATTATTATTATTTTTGGCATAAAGAAGAAAAACATTGTTTCATTTTCAGGAAAACAGCTGGAACTGAAGAGCATCCTATCAAAGAAAACAAGCCAGACTTAGGAAGAGCAGTTTTCTCTCACTCGCGGAAGCTGGAGAGGAGAAAGGGGGAAGGAAGGGAGCCCATCAGAGGAGAGGAGTGACCAGGGAGAGGGGCGGAGAGGGCAGGGAGGGGGCTGGGAGCAGAAGGGACAGGACTGCCCTGCGACGGGGTGAGGTGCCTCCGTGAATCCCGCTGCTCTGTATGATCGATATGCACTAATCAAAAATGCAGTTGTCTCGTACGAGAAAAAGGCACCAAAAACACACATTGGAGAACAGATAGTCTCTTCCCTGGGAGAACTACAGAGCCACAAGCAGCAGACGGACGCTAAACCCCGCTCTCTCACCAGGCACAAGACTCAACTCAGAGTGGATCAAAAACCTGGGAATCAGACCAGACACCCTGTGAGAGTGGGAGCCAAGGTTGCCACAGTCTGGCTGGGCACAAAATAACCGAGCCGCCATGAGGCACTTGTAGGTTCAAACAGAAACTCCTTTATTGCCCGAACTCCCCAATAGGACATGAGGTGCCTCCTTAAGGTGTAAGGAATTTATAGGGTATCATATCATTTTCCCCTTTTTGTTATTGAACCATAATTTATATAACCCAAGTAGCCACTGAGCACTTGGAAGTGCACAGTCCAGCGACACTGAGCACACAGCACATCACGCTCTCTCCACCTGTGTTTAGTTCCCAGACATTTTAGCCCCCAAAGAGAACCCTGTGCCCGGTAAGCAGTCCCCGCGTTCCCACGCCCCAGCTCCTGCTTTCTGCATCTGGATGACCTCCTTGGCCTGTGGCCTGTGGGTGGACCCCCTTGCCACCGGGCACTTGGTGTCTGCCTTTCACTGAGCACATTTCAAAGTCTGACGGATTGCAGGATGCGAGGAGGCTGCGTTCCTCCTCAGCTGGGCCATGTTCTATGCAAAATCCCAGTCCTCGCCCCGTTTCAGCCTCAAGCCAGTGCTGAGACCCGGATGCTCAGAATACAGTCCAGGGCCCACGTGGTCCTAAGGTTCCTCCAAATGTGGGCGATTCCCGCCGTCCTCGGGTTCTTCTTCTCATTTTCCTTCCCTTAGGAGTTCCGGGCGGCGTGCACATGGTATGTCGTATGTTCCATTCCCAGTTTTCTTTTCAGATCTCCATACTGCTTTCCGACTTGCAGTCCCACCAGCAGTATATGAGTGTGCCTTTCCCCCACATCCTCACCAACATTTATTGCTGCCTGAATTCTTGATGATTGCCATTCTGACAGGGGTGAGATGAAATCGTAGAGGAGTTTTGAGGTAGTGAGGGAACTCATGTCCGGGGTAACCAAGGCCGTGCCCAGGAAGAGACCTCTGGGCGCAGCAGTGGCTTCTGCCCTAGCCTAGAAAGAAGACCCCCAGGCGACCTCAGGCTGGCAGCAGCAGAAGCAGAGGCAGCAATGGCGGTAGCGGTGCAGGCAGCTGTCCCCAGAGGATTAAGTGAAATGGAAGTCGCTCCAAATTAGACAAGCCCTAAGTTCCACCGGGCTCAGGAGCCATCACACTGATGAAATTTCCACCAGCAGGTTGGGTGATAGTTTAGCTGGGTATAGGATCGGCTGCACCCCAGCATCCTGTACGGGTCTGTGGTTCTCTCCATTCCACCCACCTTTTAGCCAGCTTTCTGTTGCAGTGACAAAATGCCTGAAAAACACCATCTTCGAGCAGGAAAGGTTCATTTTGGCTCATAGTGTCAGAGATTTCAGCCCCTGGACCCTGGACCCATTGTTATGGGCTGTGATGGGGCAGAACAACATGGCGGGGAGAGAGACAGAGAGAACAGTGCACTCACTTTTATAACAAAATCCTTTCCTCAAAGCCTCAGGCTATGAATCCCTGCGTGGATTAATCCGTTGATGAAGTCAGAGCCCCCATGATCCAACCAATCACCCCTCAAAGGCGAACACCCTGCACGGGGACAGGCCTTCAATACGTGAGCGTTCAGATCCCAGTCGTGATGACCCAGGGAGCAGGATTGCTTCTCGGTCATGTTCTGGGCTCGGAGGGCAGGTCTGGGGAGGAGAGGCGCCCTTCCCCGCACCGGACTCCTTGATGGAAAGCCCTTCAGAGGGAGACTCTTCCTCGTCTCAGGAACTGCCCTCCTAGAAGCTGCCGTCACCCTCGCCCTGTGAGGAGGACGGTGGGGGGGCTGTTTCCTGCTCCAGGTTGACAAGTGACCAAGGCCACCCCCATTCTTGAGCAGACGCCGGCGGATCTCCTCCCAGGAGCACTAGTGACGAGCACGGAGCAGAGTCCCCAGGGTCAGAGGAGGAGCTGTGGGTCAGAGAAGAGGGAGAGGAGGCAGGAATGACCCCGAGGAGTGGATGGAGGAGCCCGGGAGACGCTGCCTCTTACAGAAATGAGGAAGTCCAAGGAGGAAGTTTGGAAGCAACAGAATGACGCAACTGGCTGGCGGGACTCGACTTCCCTCTGTGAGCCAGTGAAGTCCTGCGAACCTGTTCCTGAGCCTCCTTCTCCCTGACGTCGTCATCCCGTGACGCCCACTGGCTGCTCCCACCAGCCCAGGCCCAGAGGGGAGCTACCCTCAGCCCTGGGGCTCTTGTCCCCTGTGCAGAGCTTACCTCCAGACAGCACTGCCCAGAGCCCCTCCGACCCACGTCCGCTGGCCATGTGCACAGCCCAGGCCTGGAGAGGGCTTGGGAAGTCCTGTCCACGCCATCACACCAGACCCCGGGCTGTACTCGGGATCTCTGCCTGAGGTTCAGGCCGTGGTGACCAGCGAAGCTGACTCCGCACCAGCAAACCCAGCTCCTCCCTAGAGGGCAGCCCCCTCAGAGAGCCCCCCACAGACCTGCCCTACAGACTCAACTCCCAGGGCCTCGGACACACTGCGCCTCTCAGTCAGCTCCAGAGACACGCGGAGCCCCGACGACACCTGCCCACGCTCCTCACCAGGCCGAGGCGAAGGGTCTCCCAGCGTCACTCCTCAGCTGTAAATGGGTTCACGGCCTTGGGTCCGTAGGAGAGGCAGGAGGGCACACCATCTGGGTTCAGATAACTGTTGGAGAAGTGTCCGTTTGCTCTCAAGACCGCCCTGCTACCGTCCACTTCCTTCCTGGTAATGGTCTTAAAAATGCTTGTGTGGTGCAAGAGGCCCTGCAAGATGAGAGGCCCCTAGGCCCGTGCTCCCACCCTTCTCCAGAGCGGCCCTCGCTCCAGATCAGGTGGTTGCAGCTCTACCTGTTGTTGAGTCTCGTCCCCTTTTCTCCCTCCTGAGAAGCAGAGAGTCGAGCAGAATTGCCCACTGCCCTGTGTGCTGGTCCTGTCTCCACCCGTCTGAGATCCGTGGGCCCAAGGAAGGAACCCCTCAGCTCGTCGAGCATCCCCATGCCTGGCCCCAAGGCTGGACATGGTGAGGACTCAGTGGCCACTGGGGGATGGTGTAGGAGAGACAATACTTGAATTTACAAAAGGTTTGGAAGGAATGGCCTTGACCTAGCATGTGAAGAATCCATGACAGAGGGACTTGGAATGGGGTCCAGGGAGCTGCGCAGCCAGGGGCTCAGGCCTGCTGAGCTGGCCCACCAGCAGACGGACCTGCATCTCTGCAGCATCTCCAGGCTGGGCAGACGGCTGGTCCTGACAAGGAGCCCACAACCCTGGGCCATGGCAGGCTGAAGGAGAGCCAGGGAGGAGGGGCAGCCCCAGGGTCACTGTGGCACTAGGTGTACCTGCCTCAGCACACTGGCCCTCAGTGAGAGCAGAACAGGTCAGGCAGACAGTGGAAGGGGTGAGGAGGGCACCATGGCTGTCTGAGCTGCCCACAAGAACCCAGGCCTGACCCAGCTGGAAATGAGAACCAGGCTCCTGGGGAGGGCAGTTCCCCTTCCTGTGGGCAGCTGATGTGACAGCCCTTTGACGGGCAGGACACCGCCTGCAAGTGGCCACACCCTGTGTGTGTCTGTCCTCCAGGCTCTGTGACCTCCACTGGGACCACTGGGGAGAGACGCCATGACCCCCACCCTCACAGCCCTGCTCTGCCTTGGTGAGAAGAAGGGAGGGGACACCCTGTTCTGGGGGAACCCAGCCCACAGCCAGGCCCTGGCCATCAGGAGACCCAGGGCCCAG